GTGGTAGTAGAAGCTAAACATTTGCGAGATTTAACCACGGCTGCAAACTCTGCAATCCTCCGGGTAAACGATTGACTGACGCAAGCAGGTCTGGAGCTGGCACACCAGAAGACGGAGGCAGCTTTAGAATGCTACGAGAAGTGGCCAAAATTAGGGTCTGCGGCACCGAAATAACCTCGACGGGGAGTCTAAAATACTTGGGCATCGTTTTCGATACTACGCTCACATTTAAAGCTCATATCGAATCTGCAGTCGAAAAGGCGGAAAAAGTAGCAGCAAGGCTGCCAAGACTAATGCTAAACGTCAGGGGGCTTAAGCAAGAACGCAGACTTTTATATGTAAGTGTGGTTAGAAGCATTCTGCTGTATGGAGCACCAGTTTGGTCAACAGCACTGAAGACGGAATCTTACGCTCGGGAAGCTAGATCACTGTACCGACTTTGTGCCTTAATAGTATGTTGCGCTTTCCGAACAACGTCAGAGGAAGCAGCGTTAGTAGTAGCAGGTCTCTGTCCTATTGACATAGTGGCAAAGGAAATAGGTGCAATATCTGAAAAGCAGGAGACAGAAAGGGTGAGACGAAATTGTTTGCAGCAGTGGCAAGACCGCTGGGACCACTCAACTAACGGACGCTGGACATATAGACTTATTCTGAGTATAAGGAAATGGCTTGACAGAAGACATGGAGAGGTTGACTTCTACCTCACTCAAATAATAACCGGACACGGATGCTTTAAAGTAGGGATGCACAGCAGAGGTGCACGCAGTCGACGTCGCGGGCAAACTGCGCGCACGCGAGCGTGCTAGGCGAGGTGAAGTGAGCTGTACGGAGATGGCATCGTATACATATTAACCACTACATACTTATTTTCAAGTAAAAATGCGTGTATGTATGTGTACTTTTGCGACAACTGAGCCAGTGTGGCATCAGGCCACCAGAAAAAGCCAATTTTTCCAAAACAAAAGCGCCAAGTTTTTATTATCATGTTTAATAATTTTTTTGATTCAGTAAAAAGTATATATACATATCCATTTCCTCACGTTTTTATAAATAAATTAATTTCAATACATTTATAACAACGCAAAACATATTTAATTTACCTATTCCTCACATTTTATTCAGTAAATGAATTCCATCTTAATGTAGAATATTAGTGTATAGTGTATACATACATACATATGTACCTATGCATTCGGCGTGCTTAAATTAAAAAGCATCACTAAATACCGCACCAAGCATTGAATTCTAATTATTTTGGCTTTTAGGTTTCACTAAATTTAGTGCAAAATGCACGACCTTGGCAACAGTGAGCTGAGCACATCAATGCTCAAACAGTGATGCCAGACCAAGTATTGAGTAAATGCGCTATGTATATTTTTCTTTTAAAGCAAAAGTTTTAATTGGCGAGGGTATTGATTTTTGGTTCTTACATAGAACACTGATAAGATTCACGAACTTATCTAAGGACTTAATTAAAATAATCAACATTATTTGTTGACGAATATATTTGTGTTCGTATGAAGTAGTAGCTTATGTCGGGAGGCTGGCTTTAGTAAAATGTACCATTTCCTGTATTCTTTAAACCACAAGGAATTTTTTTATGAAACTTGATACGAATATTGACTTGCTAGCGTCGCCATTAACATTACCATCTTTTACGTTTATTTTCCAAGAATTCTTCAACGACTCGGCGCCAGTGAGTCTTTCGCAATCGTATGCTGCGAATGGTTCACTATACTAAAGCCAGTCTTCCGAAATAAGCTACTATTCCATACGAACACAGATATGTATACTTCCTAATAGGCTTGTAAAATGCCCAATACCCAAATCCCTCGCATGAGTTATTATCGGTAAAAAATTGGGTACGCATAAATCTGGCATCGCTGCAGCAAGTACAGCGCCAGTGAAACAGTGTTGATATTTTAAGTACAATTGTACTTTTTTCAGTACAATTAATTTTAAAATGTACAAAAGTACAATTTGCCGATTTTAAGTACAATTTCAACAACAATACTTTTTGTACCAAACGCTCAAATCCTTCTAGCACTTTGATTCTTAATCCGTTTACATTTAAGTAAATGGATATACCTATATTTCATATTTGCTACAAAACGAAATTATGAATTGTAATTTTGAGTGTAAACGTGATTGTGAACAGTAATATTAGTGATGTGCGTTATGGTGATTGCGATTTCTTATCACCGGCGGGTAAATATCCCTCATCGCTATTTATTTTGAAAAAATCTTTGGAAATGCAATTTAGCTAATGGCGATCCTGCAGAAATAGAAGTAGTCGAGCAATTCGGGGGTTGAAAGTAAAAAAATGTATGTAAATTACATGCGTTGAAATTATAAATTTCCCTGGAGGATTTCCATTTTATCGATAGTAATCTCATTTTATGTTCATTAATATGAACTGACCTATATAGCGTATTAATGTTTTATCATCATTGTCTTCATCTTTGACAAAATTACACGGTCACCCGGTATTTATTTTATTTTTTTAAATAATTTTAGTTATTTTTTTTATAAAATTGTATCTCATTATCAAACAAAAACCTTGCAAATAAATCGAAACTTGAAAGAATGAAAAAAATCAACAAAGTTTCATCAAATTTTCACAGTTTTTGTTCAGAATTTGTAGACATGTTTTGGGTTAACAATTTCGTGGCCCATTCATTCTAGTATAATAAGGTGCAAGCTTGAAGTGTCTAGAAAATACCATTGATTTTTTGAATTTTTCTGTTTGCGGTGTTGCGCACTTTCTTCCATATAACGAACGCTCGCATTTTATGTTATATGGATGAATGCGCGTGTAGCGTTGTTCTTTTTTATTCCAATATTTTAAATTAAGCTTTATTTTATAGTTTTTGTTAGACAATGATAAATGATGTACATAAATTTCAGTATGGAAAAAAGTGCAACAACGAAAAAAGTTCTCAAAAATCTGCGCGAATTGAATGTACTATCTCGATCATTTAAACATCTCGCCCACCACTAAAAATGATTATTTAAATCTAAAGTATATAATAAATGATATTTAATATTTGCTTTAGAGATGAAGGCTGAGATTTCCATTACGGAACCAATTGCTATTCCGTGCAAAGTATAGTGAATTTTTTTATGAAACTCGTTGGGGATACTAATGGAGGTCTCCTTTAACTATATTTACCACTTTCACAATGTTGTTGCTAATAGTACTTAAGTTATTTGTTGTTAAAGTATCCCGCCTGCTATCACCAAATTTTATTATAACTCCACACCTATCACTTTTATTTACACAAATATATTATCCTTAAAAGGTTCGCATGCGTTTGTAATACCTTAATATACAATTATTAATTAATTAATTAAGTAAAACGCGTTTATAAATGTCTTCACAAATGTTTGCACATTTCACAAACAAGCAGAAATAGCAATGGCTGACAGTAACATAAAATGTATGCTACCATACGTTAAAAAAAATACACCACAAATAAGTGCGTATAATTAGGGGTATAAGTGTACAATACGTACATTGCTCTTATTAAAAATAGTAATATGATCGATAGGGGTCTTACTCCTGATCATAACGGTAAAATTTTTTTTCGGGGGGAAATAATATTTACTGGTGTTATTATAGTTCAAAGTACACAAATGTAGAAAACGTACATCGATAATTTGATAAATAATGATAAATATTAAAAATTTTCGCCTGCGGCGCTTTTTCCATACAAATCAATACTTCGATAAATAATGAAAATTTTTAATAAAAAATCGCGCGATTATTTATTAAAAATTTTCGCCTGCGGCGCTTTTTTCATAAAAATCAATACTTCGATAAATAATGAAAATTGTTAATAAAAAATCACATACAATCTCACTATTCTGTTGACTTCGTTTTCCCCTTCCGATAATTTTTTGCTTCCGCGCTTGCCCAGCACCGCTGTGCAAAGCTTTGCACGCGCAGTCGCCCGCGACACATATGTGCTGATTTGGGCATCCCTACTTTAAAGCATAGTTGCACAGATTTACGCACGAAGACGTTCCGTACTGCACTTTCTGTACAGGGCAGGTAATCGAAGACGCTGAACATTGTTTTTTCGTCTGTCCGCAGTTCGCAACCCAAAGGGACGACTTGAGCATAAAGGTGGGGAGGCCACTTAAGGTTGACAACCTTGTCGATATCATGCTTGAGTCAAGAGAAAATTGGTCCGTTGTTTGTCATATGGCAAGCACTATCCTAAGAAAATTGCGCCAAGCGGAACAACTCCGCAGATCTTCATAGAAAGGCAATAGGCCGCTCCCCCTCCGCGAAGTAATACCTTGCGGTTGTTCCACGGAAGGAGGGAAACGGAGCAGGGGTGGGTTTTTAGTGCGTTTATGTTTCAATAAAAAATAATAATTTTGGGCGGGACGAAGTTCGCCGGGTCTGCTAGTTGTGTTATAAAAAAGTATAATAAATAAGAATTTGTCGCTTTTTTTGCTGAAATGATGATTTCTTTTGGGTAAATTGACGATTTTTCAGTGAAAGTGAACGCGGAATGTATCTCGCCGGACAGTGAAGTTTCGTTAATGGTGTTTTCGTTTCTACCCAAAAATGTTACCTTCTCATTGCTCTCTTAGCACAAACAATAGGAACCGGGCAATGAAAAGGCAACTTTTTTGTAGAAACAAAAACGCCATTAACGAAAGTACACTGTCCCCTTACTAACAGTTACTGTCCGGCGGGCCAATGTAAAAATCCACAAATTTTTTCTTCACTCTGTTTTGGAAGATCTAAGTGGAATCAAGCAGCTACCAGGCCACTCCATTCCACAGGTAATAACATTGTCACCAAATCAAATATTCTTACTAATTTCAATCACTTGATGTTTATAAATATTTCGAAGTTCTAAAACACTCGCTCTGGGTTTTTACACACATGACATTTTTATATATATTTTTTGACATTTGAATACCTAATATAAGCCTGACATTACAAGTAAAGATGAAAGCTTGTGATTTATTTTACGACTTACCCTCAATATTATCAATTGAAAAGTTCGATTGGATGTTATATCCAGAGGTAGGATTTAGGTTACCATCATGGTTTGATACTGGGTCAGTTAACGTTTCCGTTGTTGTCGATGGAGCAAGTGGTTCTACGCTAAATAAATCATCAGAACTCTAAAAAAAAACGTAAAATTTAAATTCCCGTCTAAAAGAGGGATGCTATTTGAAAAACGCTTACGTCAAGACTTGTAGAGGACATCGTAAACGGTGCGGTTGGGCGAACAATACCAAGACGGACAGGAGAAATTAGAGACTCCGACACCTCACACAGTTCTTCAATGGAAATTTTATACAGAGACTGGAAAACTTTTACGCAACTTTGAATATGTTTGTGCGAACTCAAGTTTGATTTTCTACGCTCAGGATTAGGCATCTTCTCTAAGGTAAAAATTACAAAAACACGTACCACGGATCGCACAAATCTTCGGGTTACTAATTCTGCATCTTCTCTGCGACCTGGAGTAATACCATCATGCATTTCGCGAACTAGTGTCATTAAGAGAGTTTCCAGATGGTCTCCTCCACATTTCACAAATAAATTGTGTGTAAATTTGTCCAAAAGTGTAGAGCCTTGTTGACTTTGAAGATACATATTATAACCTTCAGTATTTGAAGCATCTATTGTGGCATTCGGGTGTGGATGGGATGAACTTTCAAATTTTTCAGCACCAGTCATAATCATAGCCCGGACCGCAGGCCAGTCAATTAATAATCGTTCAAGGGCTTTTCGCGCAAACTTTGGTGGCTCAAGATCATGTTCTGGCATATCCGCTTCAATATCAATGGAAGAAGATTTGCGAGAATTGCTATTAGTTCCACTGCTTCCCACGTTTCTTACTCGTGAATTTGCCCGATATTGCCTTTGTTCTACTGTCTGACGACCAACTGTTTGTATTAGAAATAACAAAATGGATTCTCCCTTTGAATTGAACCTTGTTACAAGATCAGTACACGATGCCAATTTGCATAACAGAGCAAAACGTTTATTTTGGTTTCCAGCAATAAGGGCTTTACATTTGCACTTCTCCCAGCAGTCACAATAAGCAGTAGGTGAGGTTCGCTTTAATTTGCAATCATGACCTTTGTGACAAACACGTGCACATTCTGTACAACAACACAACGACCCTGTTAGGCCACAAGTTTTACACTCATATATGTTCTGATTAATATGATCAGCTCCGGTCCATGTAAAAGAGCATGTATCATTGTAGCACATAACATACAAAGGAGACTGATCAGGAGGTGAGCCTGATGGGAATATCATTGAATTTTTAAGCAAAGAGTCTTTTTCTGATAAGTTTAAAATTGTATTGAGGAGTATTATACCAGCTTCATAGGCACGTGTGTATACTGATATCATAAATGGTGTTCGCCCCTGGGAATCCTTGGAACTCAGCATTTGATATAAATAAGGACGAAAGGTTGCAGATAAACACATTTGTTGTAAAATCAACAGTGCATGCTCTCGGCGCTGCATTGGTTCAAAAACATAATTTGGTGATGATACACTTGTGGATGCGTTGATGTGCGAAGGAGCTGAAAAACTTTTTGAAAGTTCATCTTCAGCTTCACCACTGGTAACATCATTTGCAACAGGATTTGAACTATTTCCCTCCACTGGCCATTGCGGAATATACATTTGCTCATCAACAGATCCGACACTATGCCCTGTACCATTTGGTTCAGGGTCTGTATTAATCAGACGATTCATCATTTCACGCAAACTAACAGATCGACTTTCGCGCGCAACATTTGAGCTTGATGCACCAGCACTAGCTGTAGGTGCACTGCTGTTTACATCCAAGTGTGTAGAAAGATTTGTGCAATTGGAGAAAATAGTATTAGCTAAAGGTGTTGATCTTCCAAGGGCAGAAAAAGATTTTTTTTCCTCAGGTTCTTTGTTTGATGTGGGTGCACACATGACTACGCACGCGTGGAAAACATTGCGTCCGCCATCACAACGCTCTTCAGCGATGGCAACAATTTCATTTCGTTCTTCTTTTTCCAAATGGCTAAGTAGAGCGAATGCGTTTTTAACGTCGCACCTCAAAATATGAGGCATAAGCTTTTGAGATTGAAAAAGCAATGCAGCCAAACATAGTTTAGACTTAACATTTCCCGCAGCCGATAATGGTATCATACCCATTGAGACATTTTTAACAGGTGGTAAATCAAGCCATTGGGGGTCCTTTATTGATCCTAAACAATCTTTAGCGATTGGGTAAAGTGTGCGATTCCCATCGCAAACTATAATATTGCTGTTGCTGTCGTTGCTATCATTACTGCATATAATGCTTATGTTATTAGGGCTGGCCCCTAAAAACGAAACGCTATCTGTAGGGAATTGACAACTTTGCTCCTGTTTACTATTATATAGATTATACAAACTGTAGAAAAGTTTACAAGCGGATTTTTTAATTACATGAATGCCCCGAACGTCAACTGCCATTGCTAATAATTGGTACCCATTTGGATCATGACAATTACTAATATTAACTTTTCTCGGAAGCTTTTGCAACCAATCCGGGCCGCGAGATGTCATGTTTGTTTTGTATATTTGAACATCTTCACGACGCAAAAGACGACACTGTTGCCAATCATCGTCTTTACCTTCACCGCCGCTGCCGCAAACAGAACCGGCGGTAGTATTTGTAGAAACTGGAAATCTAACCGCTACAAAATCTCCATCGACTTTTAAGACTTTTCCAACAGGCCCCACTTTGTCTTCTACAAAAACAACATCTCTTAGTTGCCAAAGTTCTTCATCTTTTTTATTTTCAATATCATCTTTGGCTGTCATTCTCTTTACGCGTTTATGTGAAGTCACGCTTCCGGTGTCACTACATGTACTAGAGGCTGGCGAAGGAGGTGGTGGCATATCAATGCGATCCGTGGTTTCCTTTGTAGAACTTATTGTTTTACTGCTCGATGGCTGCGTATTAGCAGCATTAGATGATAAAGAAGTTTTTATACATTCTTTTTCAGTGCTTACTAAACACGCGCTTAATTGTGATTTTTCTGTACAAGTTTGTGTTAAATTATTGATTATTTTAAATCGGCAAACATCACTTAGATCCCAAACTGAATTCTGCAACTGACCTATCTTTGGTATACCATTGGAACATGTAAATCCAATCGAACCTGCTTGATAAATGGGACATTTTTTCATTACCACTTGTGTTCCCACACTGATATCAGAGGTTACGGATTTAAATGGCTTTTTAGCCTTTGTACGGAATTTGTCCCAAAGATAACGGCGTTGATCAAAAGGTAAAACACCCCACCAATAAACATGGTTGTTTTCCGTTCTTACTGCAGTATATAAGGAGCAGACATGAATTGATGCTATGGGATCTACAGCGAATTCATTAAACATTATAGCAGAATGTTCAAATTTAGCTCCCAAGTATCCCAAATGATCGTCCATCCAAGATGCTACACGCCCGGACTCAGATACTACTGAACAGCGAATAAAATTTGCGGAAATTTGTTGTACTTTTTCCGTTATATTAAGAGATGAAGTTTTCGGGTGATACACATTTTCCATCTGAAAGTAGAATCAAATCGAAAATCTTAAGTTCCTTTATATTTGTATTTATTTCTATGCTCTACATACAAATAAAAAAAGAGATAGCGCTGGAGTCGAGTTATTTATAAAAATCGTATTTCGTTAGTATAGTACGGAAAGGGCGTAACTCGCATTTCCGCTACTTTACAGAAAGAAAAAACTTAATAAAATCTGAAACGCTAGGTATTTGAACAATTTTAACCCAGATAAGCTCTTTGTCCTTTTAAAAATCAAGCGCATGCCATTTAAAAAGTCGCAGCTAAGCGTGCGCTAAATATTGATACTCGTATGGGCGCTACAAGTAAATCTCGTGTTATGGGTGCAGAACCCAATAGCAGAGAAAGGTTTACTTTACAGCTGATTTCGTGCGATTGACCACGCAGCAAAGATCGCCAATATAAAAACGTGGGACACTCCAATTTCTAATACTTTAGGATTGTCCTCCTTAGACTTTTAGTTAGTTATGAAAATGATAATGCTGTAGAAAAAATTACATTGAAGCCATTATTGGCGTTCGAAAAGGTCGTGTTCCCTTAAAAGGACGATATCCCAAGGGAATTTAGTTAAGTTGCATGAAGTCTCTAAACTATAAATGGGCTGACGACGATATAGAATTGAACGAGGCCACTGTATTCGTCTCCAGTGGAGTTGTTTTTCAACTTTATCGACGACAAATTTGTTTGTTTGTCGAAAATATCAATCTTATTGCTTGCTAAGAAAAACAAAAATGCTGATATTGCTTCTTGACATTAAACCGGCAAAAGGTTGTAGTGTCAAATAAGAGGAAGAAGTAGTAAGGTTATTCACAGATATGCCTATTGTCATTTTAAAAGGCCACCATAAGTTAACTTGAAATTGTTTTTGATTTATTAAAAATAAGTATTTTTGGAGATAATAGCCCGAGAAAATATCTATTATTTAAAAAAATACAAATTCGGTTATATTCACACTAAAAAACCGACAAATTTTGTTTTATAAGCCTTTTTTCTTTGTTACTAATAGTTTTGCTACTTAGCACTTTTTGAGGTCAAATTTTTTGCAAAATTTAAAATATGACCTAAAACAAAGGTTATCCAACACAGAACGAAAAAAAAACATATGGCTAATTGCACGGTAATCGATACCAAATGAAACGTAAATTAACTTAAGAATTTGAGTATTATTTCTAGTAATTAGGAGTACATAAAATTAACTTTCAAGACTGATAGCCCAAATTGCGAAATTTATCTCAACATCAGATATTTTTTTACTTTCAGTTGCACCATGATAAAAACATAGCAAGGTAGAACCGTTCTTTCAATTTGGCGGCCATGATTTTTTTTTAAGTTTGTCAGCCTTTTAAAATCATATAAAATCGAAAATAAAAAATTTAAATTGTTGTTGCAGAGATAGAAAATGAAAATGTGTGTGTGAGTTTGTGAGTAAATTTAAAAATTAACCCTGCAAACCAAAGTTCCCGAAATCTTAAGGAAATCGTTAGGAGTATCTCATTTCTGTAACGATTTTTTTACGAATTTTCAAAGAAAATTATATGAAGTGGTTGACACGAACTCGTAAAGAAATTTCTGTACGAAAAATAAAGAAAAATACCTGGACAAATTCTGAAAGATATTTTTCACATAGCACCATTATTTTCACAGATTTTCTTCCGAAATTTCGTAAAAGAATGGAAGTGTGCGTAATTTTTTTCATTTTAGAAAATTCGGCAAAAAATCGAATTAAATCTTAACGAATTCTTTAAAATTTCTTTACAATGCAGAATACTCTGAAAACATGGTTTGCAGGGAAATGGCTTGGAAACGTCAAGATTTATTTATTTAACATTTATTTATAAAACATGTTAATAATTTTAAACGCTTCAATTTTTCTTTTGACTTATAAATCAATAAAACGAAGATTTTTCACATTTTCCACATTTAGTTCTTTTAGAACTTCGTCAACTGAAAAATATCTTTGTGAATATTCATAGATGCTTCTGAAGTAGGTTTTAGTCCTTTACAAGCATGAAAAGCTATTGAAATGCGCAAAAGTGCCAATATATGTACAGCGTGGCGACGAATAACTGTTACCCAGGTTTTTTTGAGAAATAAAAGGGTCCTTTAAAGATTTTGCGAAAAAAGTATTTTATTGATAATTTTCCACAGATTTTACTTTAGTTGGCTAATTTTCTCCATTTTGAGTCCCTTATACTCCCCCTTCTGTCCAACCTAAGGCCTCATACTCAAAAATTGAATAGACTCGGAACTGGTGACTAGGACGGTCATTCATTCGACCAACCTTATACAGTTTTTTTCTTTTTTGTACTTTTTTTATACAAAGCCTAAGAAAAAATGCACCTGAAAAAGGCTTGCGTGCCAAATGAACTTTTCTCTCAAAGTTTACACTGCTGGCAAATGTAAATAAGGATTAAAATTTAAAAACTAATTAATGCAACTAAAGTAAAATCTGTGGAAAATTATCAATAAAATACTTTTTTCGCAAAATCTTTAAAGGACCCTTTTATTTCTCAAAAAAACCTGGGTAACAGTTATTCGTCGCCACGCTGTACATACCTAAGATCTAAAAACATTCCCAAAAGACGTTGTATTTACTACTTGTAATGCTTCGAGAGCATTTCGAAAACGTTCGTCTGAAATTCGTTGTTTCCACATTTTTACCTCCACAAGAAAGTTTTGTTTCGAACAGTCGATTACTTTTTCATAGAACGAAAACCATGATTCAGTTATTTCGTTAAAATCGTATTTTGGAAACAAAACTCAAAACAACAAACAAAAACAAAAAACAAAAAATTATCTAAAACTGATTTATGGTTTAGGAACCTGCTTTTCAAATGAGCAATATATGTATCAAGGAAGGGAATGTAAAAAGCAATGACATAGTATGCCCCGGCATCGCCGGTTTTCACATTAAATCGATTCATTTGGCGACTGCTGTATCGCGATACTTTGATTTCCGTACCTTCTTTCTTCTTCTACGTGTTCGAAAAGTAAGTTAAAGTTTTTTCTGCATCTTGTCGCATTTCTTACACTTACAAATAACTTGAGCGGTATTTTCACTGTGAAAAATAACGAGTTTTTTGACAATCGGAAAAACATACAAGTTCGAAACTATCTTTAATACAATTTTTGATTTTGCTACTGGCGAAATTACAGAGCGCGGTAGATAATTCGAGTTTCGAATAATCGCAAGTTACAGAGAATCTGGACTATTAAACGGACAGGATAGCGACGAATAACTCTTACCCAGTTCTTTTTTTTAATAACAAGGTCCTCTATAGATTTTGCGTATTATGTTATTTATTTGTTAGTTTTCCACAAACTTTACTTTAATTTTATTAATTTAGATAAAAAAATCACTTGGCAACAAAAAAAGAATCGAAAACACAAACGCACATTAGTGATCACGAGTGCTTCTCGAATTTTGAGTACAAATTCTGCTTAAACTCTTAATAAACAATAAATCCAACTCGCGCCGGTGGTAAATGCAATTGAAGTGAAGTGAGAAAATAGACAAAAAATTTAAGTAGCAACAACGAGTATAATATATTGGTGTTACTTCCAAGTAGCAATCCTAAATATAATCAGCATTACAGAGTTGCCAAAGTTCAAAATTAAGTAAAGAACCTAAAGGATAATAGAAAATACCCCAAAACACCTAACTCCTGAAAAAATCCTATAAAACGCAACCCTCCTAAAGGGAGAGGGCAACAAAAGGTACAGCAACAACAACAACAAGCACTACAAATGTCAGAAAAACAACAAAACCACCAAGAATCCCAACAACTAAAATCTCTTCCGCCACACCAAAAAATCCAGCAAGACGATAAGCTACCACGAGCGCTAAATCTCCGACCGGCGCACAGTGGTCCAATCTGCTCTATTAGGGTAATTTAATTATTATATTAAGAACTAAGATAGATATCGGGATGAAATTTCGCACAAATTATGTCCGAATGACTAACAACTTCTGCTCATAAAATGGGAAAGATCGAATGGCGACCACGCCTACCAACCATATAATTAAAAAATCGAAAAATCTTTCGCCAATTTTTGGTACATTTTTTAAGCACTTGCGCACGGTTATAGATACCTGCATACCTAAAACTTTTTTAACTATTTGGGATCAATTAAAAATAGAAAGTCCGTTATGTATATACTGTATTGACGCCGGATCCGAATCAGCCACCTAATATATGTATAAAATAAAAGAAAACTGCTAAAGTCAGATCAAGCTTAACAACTTTTAGGGCCGTTTCCTCATCTAACCTTTAGATTACCGGCCACTTTATCGTCTCGATATACGAGTTTTCGTTTTCTCATCAGCGCATTAATTTCTCGAATTGATAAATTGTTGCTCACCCGATGCAACCTCTAAAAATGAGTACCCAACTTTAAATTTTGGTTCGGTTTTGGTTCATGAGCCAGATACATATATTAGATATTTCAACCAATGTTTTGGTTTTTGCTAACAGTTGCTTTTGCTCTATATTTGCTTATGTTGCATTGTCAACCTTTGAAATTATATGACGAATGTAGTGAAGTTTCACTTTACGGAATAACAAATTTATTTTTACCGGTAAGATAAGAAAACCAAAACACTTTAAAGTGAGGACCAATTTATCTGCCCTGTTAGTAAAGGCAACTTTACTGCTAACATTAGAAAATGGCTTTCAGTAAGTAAACGATACTGATGCTTTGATAAATCTGTGTCGAATATACCGTCGGCACACAAAAAAAAATTAGTGTGATGTGCATTTGATCGGACCTACCTATGGTTATGTATTTCGACGCGCAGAATTCGAACTTAAAGTCAGTTTGGCCAATATACCTCCTAAATTACTTTATTTCTTTATTTCAAGTAAAAAATTAGTCAACAAAAACAAATTGTCTTACAGACTAATGCAGAGATGTAACAAAAATAATCTTAATAAATACACAAACTGTAATGGAAAAACATTAAGGATAAAAGATTTTAGAGCAATATGATAATGGATATCCTATGCAATGCTAACAACGTTACAAGAGAAATCAAATTACAAATCAGATCTATTACTATTACTTACTTATAGGCAATATTAAGGAGTGTAATGAAATCGTGCTTTGAGGAGGTAAAATCAATCTCAAAAGATTGATATATGGTATTGAGCTAGTGATGGGTGCATTCGCTGCATAAGTAGTTCTTATGAAGCCAATATTGAAAAACTCAAAATTTCGAAGCACTCTAGCAGGAATGTTAAAATAGATGCTCTCCAGAAGGGAGGGACAATCCACAACACCTCTAATGATATCAAAAACAAAGGACAAAGACGGAATAGATCTCCGAGATTGTAGGGATTTTAAATAAATAAGCAAGCACCTAGAGTAGTATGAGAGCATGGGGTCATGAAAACGAAGGGGACGTAGTGCGAAGCCAATGAAAACTTGTTGGACACGTCGAATTCGATTTATGTGACAAGCATGATAAGGTCTCCAAACAAAAGGAGCATATTTCAGTTTTGAACGAACAAAACACGTGTAGAGCAATTTACGAGTATAAGGACTTGTAAATTCCGTACTGTTGCACATTACAAATGCTAACATAGCATAAGATTTCGAAATTATATAATTAATATGATTAGTAAAAGTAAATTTTACATCGAAAATCACTCCCAAGTCCAAAGTTTTATTAACCAATCTCAGATGACAACTGGAGATAAAGTAGGAGGTCTGCATAGGAGCAAAACACTTAGCGAAAGTAATGTGGTAGCATTTCGCTAAATTTAAACACAACTGATTTTTAGTACAGAGAAGAGAGAACTTTTTCTATCTCAGCTTGGAACATTTGCGAATCGAATGAGTTTCTTACTATCGAATAGATTTTAAGGTCGTCAGCATAAAGTAAAAAACTAGCGTATGAAAAACAGCTTTGTATGTCATTGATACACAAGACAAATAGCAGAGGACCCAAAATACGACGCAATAAATGAATACGACTGTGAATTGTCAACTACAACCACACACCTTCGATTCGAGAGATAGGACTTTAGCCAAAGGAGGAATATGGAATGAAAGCCCAGGCACGCTAACTTCTTTATTAGTACTGAATGCGAAACTCTATCAAAGGCCTTGGAGAAGTCCGACCTGAACATCGACCTGAAAACCTTTCTGGAAAGCTGATAGGCAGTCTTCTGAGAAAACAGCCAAGTTTGTAACAGTAGATCTACCAGGGATGAAGCCATGCTGGTTAGGACAAATTAAGCTCTTAACCGCAAAAAACATCTTGTCTTTGACAATACATTCAAACAGCTTAGAGGTAGTCGACAGCTTGGAGATAGTTCTGTAATTACTCACATCATTTTTGTTTCCACTTTTAAAAATGGGTGTAACATACGCCACCTTCCAATCATCAATAAAATTGCCTGTAGATAATGATTTATTAAAGATAAACTTGGGAGGATAGGAAAGCGAAACGCATTTTTTAAACAGAACCACCGAAAGGCCATCAAAATCTGTTTGTGAAGAGATCTTAAGTTTAACGATACCTTTGGCAATTTCATCCGAGGGTAAAGAGATAGAGCCAAAGTCAACAGACGACTCCACGTTCCCCTTAAATTCAAAATCACTATCAGTCGGAGATATAAAATTCGATTTAAAAAAATCGGCGAAGAGGAAAGCCGCTTCGTTAGAAGAATTTGCATTTTTATCATTAAAAAATATAGCAGATGGAATGCTAGAGCAAGTCTTTTTAGATTTAATCAAACTCCAAAATGCTTTTGGATTTGACTTTATATTGGCTTCGTAATTAAGAATGTAAAAACTTTTCTAAACAATTACACTTTTTTGTTTATTCTTTGAATTGCAAAAGGGGAACTGATAGTTTGCTTTTTTTGAATTTACGAATGAATTTGTTCCTGAGGTTCTTTAATTTCTTTAAATTTTTGGTATGCCATGGTATTTTATATAGTCTCGTTGTATTCGGAGGAATATTAGTGAGAGCTATTTCAGCCACTTTGGATTTAAAGACATTAAAGCAACTAGAGACATCTAAACCAAAAAACAGCGTGTCCCAATCAATATTAGAAAATAAATTATTAATGATATCAAAATTACACAATTTATAATTAAAGGAGAGATTATGATTATCACAGGTAACTGAAGAGAACTCGTAAATAGTACTCAATTTTAAGAAAAAGGGGAACATGAAGAAGCTAGAAGAAGAAATAGAAGAGAATCATTCGTTAAGAGAATAGTTCATATTATTGCTTATAAATATAAGGTCTAAAATTATGTTAAGTTTATTTAAAATGTTATTTATCAGTTTGAGATCAATACTCAAAAAACTATTAACAAGATACGATTCATTCCTATAGTTTACATTATTGAATAGGAGTAGTATCATTATATGCTTGCGACCATTTAATGTTGCCTAAATTATAATCACCCAGGACAAGAAATTGGCTATCACTATTAGAATTAGAAACTACACTTTAAAACATTCGTATAAAATTAAGACTACAATATGAGTAAATTCATGTTTAAATTATTTTGGTGTCCACAAATGCATTTTTGCACCTACTTATGTGAAAAACAAAAATTTGTCTAATATTTAAAAAAAAAATGTAATATTTACTTTTAATATTTTTATTGAGCTTTTTACCACGATTGTTTATTAGGAAAAATTGAAAAAGCAACAAAGTCTAAGCGGTAGAAGTTATAGCACTATTTCGGAAATCACCACATCTCCTCATCAGACTTCTTTTTTCTAGACTTCAGCAGGGATCGAACCTGCGAATTCGATGTTCAAAGTCAGAAGCGTTAACCACTG